AAAAAAAAAAAAAAGGCGAATGAGGGGTCTGAAGTAATTTTGCCTATGGAAGGTGTATGTATGCAAGACGATATAAAATCGCACGGGTATTTTATGTCATTTTGAAAATTAGCTGGGTGTTCTTTGTGATTAGGTGAAATCACAAGGGGCACTTTTCATCTAAAGTAGCTAAAACCTTCAAACTCGAAGGGATTCCTATCATGCTACCAAATATTTATTTTAACATAACAGCTATATACGATTGGACCGAAGAAAAAATGAAGTATTATACGGCAATTGGGAAAGGGGAAGGCATAATTTTGTGTGTTTAATACTAGACTCAAATCAAGAACTTTGCCGTACAATATTACCACAAAATTAATAAGTTCAGCAATAACCTGAATGCCATAGAGGACAATGACACCAATCCCGAGCCACGAGTGTAGACTGTACAAATTGGCAATGTTGCTCTCGTTATGAAACTTGAAAGCCGTGTATATCCCGATTATGCCAAGTATAAGAGCAATAGCATGCAACACAAGATGTACGAGTTTCTTCTCTGGCTTCTTTAGCGGTAGGGATTTGTAACTCATGATGGCTGAAGTTAGAAACACAAAAGAAGAGAAAAAAAAAAAGGCAAAGGTTTTTAAGAATTTCAGTGAAATCAGTGATTGAAAATTCGAAAACCAGTTTACCTTGACCTCCAATTATGATAAACCCAATCAGCATCAATACAGGGTGAAGCTGAAAATGAAAATAATGAACACAAATGAGATTGACAAACCATATTACCAGAAACAATCACACAAGTCTTATGAGGCTGGTGTCTCATCAAAATTCATAATAATTCTATCCTCGAACAAAAGACACAATGAGTGACAAGCCGCGAGATTGTCATTAAATCTAAAATGCGTATTATTACGTCTAATTATCTTAGGGACTTTGTCAAAGAAACTTTCCCTGAGTATTAGGTTTTACTTTAAAAATAACTACCAAGATATTATGGTTAATAATATGGAGAGGTGTATCCAGAAAAATATGAACCAGGTAACTGTGCGTAGCTTTTGCAATCAAAATGGCTCCACTCTAACTGCGCGTTCGTTTAGGAATTAACTAATTCAAGTCAAGATCACCAAATACTAGCAAATGCAGCGTATTAAACCGATTTAAGAGAGTTTACAGACCAAAGAACATTGAACTATAACTATAACTATAACAACTAACAAAACTCCTAATGTCTAGACCTTAATCAGTGGAAAATGTGAACACCTTTACCCAACGGCAGCATATTGAAGTCGAAAGCACCGAATACTAATTCGAGTCAACAGCACGAAATACTAGTAAATGCAGCTTATTGAACCGATTTAAGACAACTAACATAATTTCATAGGGAAATGCTACAGTCCCCGTTACGGAACCATTCCGTCTGGATTTGTATCCGTAAGATCATCATGTATATCCAACGATTACAAACCCGGACGCAATGGTTCCGCGACGGGCCAGTAGAATCTCCCAATTTCATAATGTCTAGACTACAATTAGCGGAAAATGTGAAAAACCTTTCCCAAACTGCAGCATAATCATTAAATTAAATCAATCGTGTGGTCCCAACTCGAATACACGCAATTAACAAAATTCGATCAACAACAACTAATGCGAGTGAACACATAAAAATCAGTAGGAGCCTTAAACAGAACCAGAAACCAAACCCCCAAACAAAAACAAATCACAAGCAATCGAGCAAAACAATTAAGGTAAAACAGAACATACTATTAGAACAAAACAATTCAGACAATTTTTACTTACATTGAATATGAGAGCCTTGTTCGTAGCTTCCCAGGCCAAGCCGCCCCTGAAGCTGATACACCAAATTAACACCAATACGGCGCCCACAATCCCCAGAAAATGAGCAACAAATGAAATATTCAAAGCCTTAACACCTAAAGCCATCTTTTTTTCCTTTAATTTTCTTATGGGTCTCTCTTTTTTGTATCAATCTGGGGAAGACACTACGATGGGTTTCACGGATATGAAAAAAGTTGGAGTCTTTCTGTATCTTTTTCCAACTGTTTGCTGCTCCTCACGAGTTTCCCTGAGCCTCTCTACGTACCAGTCTTGGTTTTGACGGTTTCTGGGCCGTCGGATGGAGATAATCCTCGGATGATTGGGAAGTGGACACGTGTTGATTGCTGATAGGGTTATCGCGAGACCACGTGTTTCAGGTTCAAATGGCACTCGTGTCCTATTGCGTGCCTTGTTCTTTGTAGCTCTTTGGTGGGCTAATGTGTTTTATTGATGGAGATCATAAATTGTTTTTTTTTTTTTTTTTTATTTATCAATTTGTAAGACATAAAAGTCTAAAAATAATACACTTACAAGATTCTATAGGTATTTGTATATTAAAAAAAATTTAATTCATGCTTAAAATTTAATTCGAATTTATTATTTTCAATATTATCAATATAATTAAATAACATCAACTAATTATTCATTCACATCACATCAACTTTAATTTACTGTTTATATAATTTTAATTAACATTTTACATTATTTCTTTTCTACTTTTACATTAAATTAATTGAATTATTTAATTTTAAATATTATTTTAATATAAAATTAAAATATCACTGACAATTAATTATACCATTTTTTTTTAAAAAAAAAATATCTCAGGCTAAGAAAAAACTAATTTTTTAAAAGATACCATTGTATACAAACACGCTAGTCATGAACTTTAAAATTACAAATTCTATCCTTAAACATTATGATCACATTATTTAAGCATGCCTTTCTCATACTACAACATGATTATATAACAGCAAAATGAAAGACAATTCATATTTTTTGTATAACGGCAGACAACCTAGAGGATATATCATATCCCTCCTTCTATATTAACTCAAAACGTGTTGAGTTTAAGTGACAGATTCTTACGCTTCGAATGCTGATATGACGAAAATCTATGCTTCGTGATGTTGTTTATATATTCATTTTTGCTCTAGGATTAGATTTGATATTAGACATAAATAACTTTTATCATACATTTCATAATTCAACACCGTGATATATCCAGGTATTGTACCAGAACTGTACTAGTCAAATGAAAATTGCTATATTACCAACATAGTGTACAACTAGGTTGACAACACAAGTGAAAACATCTACTTGTGTATTTTTTTATTTTTATTTTTTTTGAATATTTTCACTTGTGTTGTCAACCTAATTGTACACTAGATTCACAATGTAGCATTACTCTAGTCAAAAAGTTCCATAAGTGTTGTAGATCAGTTTGTATAACTTGGCAAGCTGAATTATTTTTTTGAAAATTTAATAACCACTGACTTATCGGTCCAGCGTGAACCGGTCCCGTCCCGGCTTTGAACC